AGTGAACTTAGACACCACAAGCTCATTGGTTTAGCTGATATTGAGCTTCAGCTGATTGTCTCTGCAGCATGTGACGAAGCTCTCTGTCAGTCCTCTCTAAAAATAGACTCTAAGTTAAGATATTTCTCACTGGGAATTATTCACTGGAATCATACATGTGAGTATAGTGACACTGCCACTTTTGGTTGGCCTGAGCATACAACCGTGAGGCAGTATTTAGTAGTACGGTAGTTTTTCTGTATATTTCTAAACACATATTAGGTATCGCATTGCTACATGATGCCCTGACATTAGATTGCTCTTCTCATCCTCGCTCTCTGAAAGAAATCAAAAAAGTATATTTTCCAAAATGTGTTTTCCTTTACGATGGCCCAAAAACATTTGAAGGACACTATAACATTTAGTTAGTCCACTTATTTCTCTTTGTGTGTGTCTGTGGTAGCTGTTGCATTGTTGATGCCCACTGTGCCCAGAGATTAAAATGAACTTTCCCAGCAGCTGTAAATTTCACCCACCTCTATCATGTATTGCACAGTGTTGTAAATTGTCACTCAGCTCTTGTGATAGCGCAGACTGAGTTTGTGATCGATGTTTGACTCTCAGGTGCAACACTGACACGTCCGTCTTATTTTAATTATTTCTGGATGTGGTTATGAAGTGGGTCTGGCTGTGTGTGTGTCTGTGGCTCAGTGTCACATTCTGACATTCTCTGTTGGAATGCAGAGTGAGGGAGTGGGAACAGAACAGTTGGGAGGTCGGAGGTCAAAGAGTCTACAATGAGAGTGCCTAAGACACTCAAAAGCTCTCCTGATGCAGATGTGGGCAGCACATATCCTGAAGAGCAAACAGGAAGCTAGCAGTTCACATTAACGAGAACTACACACTGGTTTGTTGACAGATTATGTAAGTGGCAATAATATAGGAAAACAATACAATATTGGCCTTAGAACTACATGTTGTGAAATAAATATTCCTTCACCTTTTCACAGGTGTAATAACTCATTATGTAACCACCCCTGCATCTTGTAATAATCTGCCACATTTTGTAATAAGCAGTATGAATGCAATATACAAGATCAGCTTGTTATCATCTTACAAATATAGCCAACTAAGGGACTTCTTGTCAAATGCCGACCTGAAAAACACTCACTACTCAACTACTGCAGTGGTCTTTTGAAAGGGCAACCCCAAAAAGGCCTTTAAAAAGCTTCAGCTTATCCAAAATGCATTTTATAAAAAATTGCAACTCCCACATTTTGTTATAGCTCCTACAATATGTATACATTTATTTAAAAATGTGGGAAAATCTATTACGTTTTGGGTTCAGGCTGTTTATTATCAAATGTGGCAGACTATTACAAAAGGTGGGTGTTATTTGATAGCCTTATGAAGTGAAAATGTATTACATATTGTTGCATTATTACATAATGAAAAATAAAGTTGTGACTCATTATCTTGTGTTGTCTCATACATGAAACGTAAACTTAAAAGTCAAATTAAAATGTGATTAGTTAAAATTTGTAGGTGAATGTGATTAATGTACGAAAAATGCATGACATGCATAAATAGTTTAAAAAAGAAAAAGAAATAAAGATAACTAAACAAATCAAACTTGTAAAAAATACTACCAAGAAAAATTGGCTATGTACAACAAATTCTAGTATTTTGATTTCTAGATACACATCTTTTTGTACATATACTTTTTTGAGTCAGACATTGAAAGTAAGTATATATATATATATATATATATATATATATATATAGCTGCTAAAAATTGCATCTTTCAGAGAACAAATGACAAATTTGATGGCCTCTCCAGACGCACTTGACTCTGGAAATCTATGTAAAACATTAGTTACAGAAAACGGGTGAAATCTTTTTTATTTTGAAATGGAGGGCACTTGAGAAGAGAAGACATTATTTAGAGACTTCTGAACCTGAACTCGTCAGCCTAATAAGTCTTACACCGGTTGTTGTTAATCTGCTCGCAAAAGTTAAAGCCAGAACAACAAATATGGTACAAAAAATTTATTTAGTAACAGTTTTGTAAACATTTGAGGTAAATTAACATTTACATCAACTTGTTCTTACAAAAGAATCATTCATACACAAGGCACTTCTCCTGTTTAAGACAGCATTGAAAACAGTTTGCTGTTCTGAGCATTGTTTGATGGTTCCTACTCCCTGATGAGCCAGAGAAATCATGCTCTGCATGACACGTAAGAGGAGAGAGTTCGGAGGAGTCACAGGGACAACGGGCTTTGAACACAACATCCTGTCAGGGCTTTGAACACAGGGTTAGGGAAGGGCCAGCTACCCAGTCGAGGCCGTCTGATCTGACGTCTAACCAGAGTCCCGACCAGTCTGTGAGAACATACTGAGTGAACACGCAGAAAAATACCCCTACTATTTTTTCTCTCTCTCGCTGTTGGCCTTTAAACTCATCATTATCTGAGCTTGAGATACATAACAGCTTCTTTTTTTAATACTGCCTTTTCTGTGAAGAGCCACTGCGTTTTTGTTTTAAGACATTTTTTCCTTTGAGGATCATAGAGATTGGCAGTTTGGCCTCTCGCGCTCTCTCTTTCTCTCTCTCGCTCTCTCTCATTCTCTCTCTCTCTCTTTCTCTCTCTATTACTACCAATATTAGCATTGCAGAACAGCAATTTTTCTTTCCTAAATGTGCAAATCTTTATCAACTACCAAAATGTAAACTTTAGGGATCAAAAACAAATGCAACAAAGATTTTTTTTTGTCATTTTGAACAAGAAACATGTACTGGGAAAGACTGCTGTTACCTATGCGTTGTGTAGGTTTATATTCTCCTCATTGTGCTTCTGTTTGCACTAACTGTCATTTAAGCAACTGAAGTAAGATACGGCATTAAACATTATACCCATATGGGTACAGATACTCTTACACCATACAGTACCATTATTTTGTACCCCCCCCACCCCCCACCCCCAGAAAATTAAAAAAACAACTGCTACCATTTTACACTGCTCTTACTCCAGTGTATTAACCTGCACATTAACTGCTGGAAAAGTATAGCTTCTATAGATTGCTTTGCACTAATATATTAGTGCTTAATTGTATGCCCTGTGAGTGCAATATGTCCAATGCAGATTATTTATTTTTCACACAGTGTTACTGTGTACTTGCTGTGCCCCAGAACTGAACTTACAGGATAATACAGTGGATTAAGGTTGTAAAAAAAAAGAAGAGAAAAATAAGCTTTTTGAGTGTGAGTGCCTGGGTTGTGAATGAACCAAACAGCACAGTAACACAACAGAGACAGGGGACTGCGGCTGCTGATGAATTCAGTTAAAAGGGTGGGTTCCTAAAGATCTCTAAGAATCAAGATGAACACAACAAAATAGAAGCCGTCAAGGTCGACTGCACCATGGCGTTATGATACTCGCAACGCCAGTCATTGTCTTTTTTAACTGTAGTTGTTTCGCAATCACAAACTACTACAAGTATGCAATTTATGAGTAAAATTCTATTCAGTTTTAAAAAAATAGCACTTTTCAGAATAAAACCAGTGTAGAAGCACATGAAATGTGTGACGGTGAAAGTCGTTTAACTCCCAAAGTCGCTCTTAATCTTTAGGTTTGATTATTATAAACAGGGCTGTTGGCTAAAATATCTGCCAACAATCTAACTAAACAAATTTGCAGTTTCAAGTTCAACCAAAGAGCTTTGGGAGGTTGTTTGTTCGACAATATTGTTATTCTTTATATCAGATGGTGACTGCCATGTATTTGCAAAATTATTTGAAGGCAATGCCTTGTCATTTGTGCAATTAGTGGAGAGCATTTTTCTTTTCAGACATGTTGACTGAAGGCGATGCTGACAGAGGCAGGCGTAAGGGACTCTCCTACTGCCCCTATTTTCCTCTTTTGTAAACTAACAGCAAGGTTTTGATCTCTAGGTTATTGACAATGTAGTATTCATAGAGACCCAGGTACATTCTGGCATCACAGGGATGACTTCTACCAGCAGTTTTGACCCATATCCTGTCCACACTGCGCCTATGTCTGTTTATTCTGAGGACTCTGTCCATTCCATCTCAGTTGCAATATTTATTGTCTCTGCAGGAAGCGCTGCAATGGATCATGGGTAAAACCAAACTAGCCAACTTTGCCATGTGAAATTGTCAGTGAATCGGTGAGTTGTAGGGCTGCACATGCATTCACAAGTACATGGAACACAATACATGTACTGTTTGTTGATAAAATTACTTCCTGGATGAATTCTGTTCAACACAACAGGTGTTTGCTTCGCAAGATTCAGGAAGTGCTGAGGCAAAAGACCTTCCAGGTCCACAGACGAACGCTGGAACCAGCAGTTGACATGTAGTTCAACATGCATTGCACGTTTGCGCTGCCGATTTGACTGTGAAACCAGACAATGATGGACAAGATATATGAGGGAATTGCCTGGCTATACATTGGATAAGTGATGTGTACAACAATGCCAGCTACCTCTGCTTCCGCCAGATTAAATAAAAAAATATTCAGTCATTGTTTCAACAAATGTTCCTTTTCATTTGGAATAATAAGTCTTTTAGGCTGAACAAAAAGAAAAAAAAAAAGAGAAACACCATGAGATTTTCCCCCAAACCACCGAGATTTGTCCATTTTGAAGCAAAATTGTGACATCACAATGTCCATTGCCTCATCCACCGCTGTGAGTGAAGCCATGTGCCTTTACAGCACTGCATGATCACATTTTGTGTGCATAGATTAAGACCAACCAAAAACACAAACGTTGCCTCAACTACTCTGCAACTCACCGACTGCACTAAACTGACTGCTGATCAAGTCATTTCACATTTGCCTAAAGGTTTCCTGCTTTCCCGTCTCTTGTCGCCTTGCCTTCTGTTTTTGTGATTTTTTTAAAAAGTTTTTTAATTTTTTTTTTGCTTTATGCATGCCTGTGATATTTTGTTGTCTGATAATCACTGTGTTTGGGGGTGGGGTTGAGGGACGCGGGGTGTTGGTCAGGGAGGGTTTAGGGACATGAAAGGGCTGAAGAGATTTAGACAGCCAGGTCGCTTGGCCTGGCCCTGATGCTGCTGCTCTTACTGGCCCGACTGAGCCGCCGAGGGTCTGTGCTGACCGTAACTGGTGGCTTGTGCATCTCCACTGTAGTGGTGGTGACATGGCCTTCCTCCTGCTCGCTCTTCCCCCCACCCCAGCTGCCTGTATTGGAGGCCGTGTCAGGGTTGCTGCTGCTGGAGGCAGCAGTGGTGGTTGTATTGGTGATGCTGGTTTTATTGGTAGTGTTGCTGGTGGGAAGGAGCAGTGCAGCATCGACGGGCTGCTGCTGCTCGTTGTTGGTGCTGGTGGAGGAAGAGGAGGATGGGGAGGGAGAGGTGCCCTTCATCTCCCGAGTCTGCTGCTCGGTGGCCAGGTTGGCCCAGTTCTGCTGCGTGGCCAGCCTGTGGTTGTTGTTGTTGCTGATGTAGTAGTGGGAAGAGGGGGAGGACTGGCGGAGGGACTGTTCCTGCTGGAGGTTGTCCATCTTGAACTCCGCTGCTGAGGGCACAGCTGCCGGCCCAATGGGCGGCAGGAATGCCCTGCTGCCCGCCGTCACATCTGTGTAGTTGGGAGGGTAGCTGAGGCTGGAAGGGGCAGTTCTGGAGGCTGAGGCCAAACACTCAGGCTCTGCAATGTCGACGCGGCGCAGCGACTCGCTGTCGGGGTTAAACTCATTTCTCATGCCCTGTTTAACTTTCTTCCATCCCAGGTGATAGATCTCTAACAAATTCAGCAAAAGAGACACGCAAGCCACCACAAGCATAAATATAATAAAAATAGTCTTTTCAGTGGGCCTCGATATGAAGCAGTCAACGGTGTTGGGGCAGGGCCAACGTGCACACTTGTACAGGGGCCTCAGCTGGAAGCCATAGAGGAGATACTGGCCCAAAATGAATCCCACTTCAAACAGGGTCTTGAAAATAATGTTGAACACATAGGTACGCAGCAATGCACCTCTGATACGGATTTTGCCATGCTCGTCCCTGATTGGCGGCTTCTCCTTCTTGCCGCCTCCTCCTCCAGCCTCTGCACCATTTCTATAAAGGAGTTCTTTCTCCTCTTGGAACCTGTTTGCTTTGCGCATCTCCTCCTCCTTCTCTTTCCGCTTCTCCTCCATGCGGACGATGTGTAGCACGTGGCCCAGGTAGATGAGAGTCGGTGTGGACACAAAGATGATCTGCAGCACCCAGAAGCGGATGTGCGAGATGGGGAAGGCCTCGTCATAGCAGACATTCTCGCAACCAGGCTGTTGGGTGTTGCAGGTGAAGTCAGACTGCTCGTCGCCCCAGACCTCTTCGGCTGCGGCCCCCAGCACCAGGATCCTGAAGATGAAGAGGACAGTCAGCCAGACTTTGCCGATGACCGTTGAGTGCTCCTGAGCGTTCTCCAACAGCCGCCCTAGAAAGCTCCAGTCGCCCATGCTTCAAGATTTCTAGCCTATGGAGAAAGTACAGGCTGGAGTGCACAAAGAAGGGAGGAATGGAAAAACAAAAAGAGGAGAAGCAGACAGAGAGGGTGTGAGAGAAAGTTAAAGAAATGTATATGAATCTGCTTGAAGTATTCAAAGTTGATCTGAACATTTCTCATTGCAGAGAGTTCCATGTAAGGCCTTACCGCGAGGTTAAACACTCTACACATACGAACACACAAGAAGACACAAGGACATGGATGAGAACGGACGTGTCGACTACTCTCCGACATATTGCTCTTTTTCATAAAAAGCTTAACAGAACAAGGTCTTTATAGAAAACCGCCACATAGGCGTTGCATATCGATAACAAATCGAAACACAGCATTCGCTTCAAACACAGACGCTTTTTAGTAGCTCGTATACTGTATAGGCCACCTGTTTGACTGAACCCTGGTTCACTCTCCCTTTCTCTCCCTCTCGCCTCTCTCTCTCTCTCACCTGGCTCGCTCCACTGCCCAGCAGGCCAGTGCTGAGATCAAACATCTATAATGTTTCGAAACAGCAATTTAGCAGGAGATGGGGGCTCTGGTGAGGCACATGCAACCACACACAACACACACACACACACAGAAACAAATACTGACCTACACACACATACACGCCGCCCTCCCTCCCTTCCTCTTTCCCTCTCTCAACTGTAATACTAAAGCCACATCAAACTGAATTTACTGTAATTACAAAAGAAAATAATATAATAATTGTGTGACAGTGATTTTTTTAAGTTTAAAAAACTCTGAAAGTGGAATTTTTCATTTTGATAAGACTGTAACAGAAGACGTTACTTTATCAATTTATTTATAAATTACAAATTTCTTTGATGACTCAAACTATTTAGTCTTTAAAATGTCCAATTACGGCTTCTCTGGGCCCAAGTTGATCTCTTCAAATAGCTTGGTTTGTTCAAACAATGGTCCAAACTATATATATAGTAGAAAATGAGCATATCCTCACATTTGAAAATTTTAAGCTGTTTGGCAATGTTGATTAATCGATTAAAGTGTTGTCAATTATTTCTCTGTTGAACACTGCATCTGTTATTTGATGCCACAGATTAAATACTAAGTTTAGACGAGCTATTTAAACAGACTTGTCAAACATATTTAAAGGTTTAAGTAAGACAAATGTATGTGTGTGAGATGGACACGTGATTGTTCTGAGCAAAGTAACCCTGCTGTTATTCTTTACATCTTATGTATTATGTATATATTATGTACACTGAACAAACACTAATCATACAACAAATTCAACACACATACAGGGAAAGAAACTTACTAAAATATTCTTGTATTAAAGGTAATAAATCCATCGACCAAGGTTCACAATATGTATGACACCTGGAAGAGAAAAGCATTATGAAACAACAATTCATTCTTTCTTTGAGACTTTGGTTAGCAGATTAAAACTAATTGATCTATATTAAACAAAAGAACACATAAAAATGTGCAATTATGCGCATGATTTGATCAAAAAATTAAATATATCCAGATTATAGCAATAATAATTTTATGAAAATTGAAAATAGTCTAAAATCTTAAACAGAATAATTAACATAATAACAGTTTGCATTTGAAATATCTGATATAAATATTGGTATAGTATCAGAGAGTCAGAAAGTCGTGTTTTACATGTAACATTTGACCTTGTGATGACTTAATTATTAGTGGCACACTTACATAAATAGATGTCTCTTAGTTTCACAGGTATTTGGGGTATTTATGGTGAGACAGAGCCAGGTTCAAATACAAAGCCTACCATACCTGTCAGACAATACAGAGTGTACCAGAGTCCCCAGACTCCCTTTAAGCGCCACAAGCTTTGTCAGGCTTTTGTCTCACTTCTTATTTAGTCAAACTTAAGTAATTACGCTTAATTACCTGATAACACGCAGTTCTTCATTTACTTGGTCTTACTTCATTCCCATTTAAGCAGATGAAGAAAAAAAAACCTCACAGCAGTGTTTATCCATCATACCTTTAGACCGGAGATGTCATAGTTAAATAAGAAAAGCAAATCCATCTGCCATCATTGGTGCCATCGTTGGAGTGCGTTGAAAAGCGTGTAGCGACCCTCCCTCTGTCTCCCTGAACCCAGACCCGCAACCTGTCGCCCTGACGGCTCAACAAACTCTCTTTTTTTTTTTAAAAACACCTCACAAACTCATTCATGCACAAACTTGTCCAGGCGTGTGGTCAGTGTGGCTGTCTGTCCCGGGCCCGCCAACGCGCGCAAGGAAAAGTTTTTCTTTGTTGTTGTTAGTTTTTGGAGGCGGCTTGGAGTCGGAGATGGGGCTCGGTTAGACGGAGCTGCCTCCCGTTTCCAGCCATGTCTGGACTGTCACATTGTGTGACCATGCATGACTGAATCCACAGAGTCATCAGACTGTCCGGTGTCACACCACGCCCCTGCCAGCCTCCCCAAAACCTGTCCAAAATGTGCGCAAAGGTTGCCGAAAACCTCCGCACAATTTGTACAAAAACCTGTACAGGCTCTGAACAACAGTAACTCTTACGTGTAAAAATAGCAATAGTTATCACATTTGAGGGGAAAAGGCTCACTATAAACTCACCTTTGACCCTGTGTCACACTTTATTCACTGTCAAAATAAAACACTACTTTGAGAAATTCATGAAAACCTGATGTCTGATGATTAAAAGCAACAAAAATAACATAACGTGAGCATAATAGCTGTCTGAGCAAACAACATTTTTAGAGCATCACCCATTAAATAAAATGAAATAGAAGATCTTGCATGTCCCATCAAATGGGTAGCTGCAGAGAGGCAGGGCATTGTACAGTATGAGGCAATGTGACACACATTAATGGAACAAAACGACAAACCACAGAGTTTTGTTTTTACTGATTTATGAAAAAAGGTCTCAAAGAGCAAAAAGACTTCAAGGATCAAAGTGCGAGTGTAATAAAAACTTTGTAGGTACAAAACATTAAATCTCTTAATTTCTTCCTTAGAAAGCCATCTGTTCATTAGTATGTTGTTTGCTGTTAAAAGCAGACTACTAACCCTAGAATGTGGAAGAAATCTGAATAGGAACGTGTTAAAAACAACAACATCTTGGGGACTGGAATGATCAGGCTCGTCCCTTAAAAACAATGTCCATCACACACCACTGCTATCACAGGTGTAGCATCAAAATGTTGTTTGGCTGTTACAGAAAGCAAGAGGTCAAAGGTCAATGCACAAAGAAAAAAAGACACAAAAAAACTTTAAAATCACAAATATTTTTTCTAAATCTGCAGAGTGCTTTGTCTGTGACAATGCATTACATGCCATTTTATGGATATTTGGTTAAAACCTTTCTCACCCACTGAAAACATAATGTCAACATTACACTTCGAGCTGTAACTCCCAACAGGCTGAACCAGTTATGTAATGTGAATATACAATTTATCCAGATTTTCTTTCTCTAATTTCGGAACTGACAAATCTAAATGATTGTCCAACTCGTCTCACACACCCCTCTCCAATCTTTCCTAATCACCAATCACTGTACTCTGTACTCTTTTTTTTTTTCAAACACAGATGAGACTAATCCAACTCAGCTATTCCTGGATGGAGGGAGGACAAAGACATTTTCACTTTGACATCGGCCGTAGTTCCTCACATGAAGAGGGCGATTAGCGTGGTGGCTAAAATAAGGCACACATGCTGAAAGCTGATACAGCCAGCTGGGGTCAGTACACACTGCAACAACAACACAAGTCCAAATAACACAGGAGCAGGTCTGGGCTGAACAGGACAACTTCTGGATGCAAAAAAGCTCATATGATTCTCAATCTTAAACACTTGAATATCAGGTTTAATAATAATAATAATAAAGAACCTTCAGGAGCAATCCCATGGCAGTTTTTTAAGTTGTCTGTCCAATAATTAGCATCATCAGGAGGCAAAAGCGAATGTTACAAAATGCAGAAGTCCAAGGATATAATACATATTTCATATTTTTATCACCAGGCATGAATGTGTGAAAATATCCAACACATTCTCAGCGTGTTTAGGTTATTCAGCTCATGTAAAAAAATCACTTAAATTTAAAAAGTTTCAGTTCAAGTAAAAGACAAAAGACATTCTGATCTGATTAAACAGCAAGGAGCATCAAATCTACTAAACCACTGTGGTTGTGTAGGCAAGGTTTCACCATGTTTTATAAATTCTTTATCAGCATAATCTTCTGTGCAACACACTTCTCAGTAATTAATAACACACAAATGAAAATATCTAGCATCATTCATAGAAAGTCAGAAATCTTTAAACTTTATGCTACAGTCGCTTGATTCAATACAGCAGGATCAAACAAACTCTTCTGCTTTATCAGTTACTGTAATATGTCAATCACATGTCACCTCATGTAAACTACATGCTAATCACACAATTGGACCTTTTTTCTGCTTCACTTTTCATGACTTCATTTGTTTTCCTTCCTCTTCTTTAACAATAAGTAAATCATTCAGGTGCTCTTAGAGGTTCCACTGTGAACCACTAGATGTCAGCGTAGACTCATTCTTCTCTCGTTCAGAACCTGAACGATCACACGTGCAATGCAACTTCAAACTGTGAACAATCAGTGAACACCTCTATCAAACACAATCAACTGTCCACTGTATGAAAAGTAAGGAGACACTTGTGATAATGTGGAAGATCCACAGATGCATTGATACTATTTTGTTAATAACTGTTGATAAGCATTTACTGCTACCTGGCGGCTATTTGTTCTGAGAACAAACAAGTAACACTTTAAATTATACTAATTTACTATAAACATACTAATTTTCTTTTGCTTCAGAGAACATCTGACTGCTTTTAGTGGCAAATTTAAGGCCATATGTAGGAATATATGCAGAACAAATGCATGTCATACAGTGATTTCCCTACAAATGAATGTAGACATTAGGCCTTAACTACATATGCTGCTGTCTAGTTAAACTAAGCTCTGTTGTGATAGTTTTAAGTTCCCACAGTCTCAAAATTTACTTCAGAAGCTGTTTCACCTTCGCATGAGACAATTCTGGTAGATGCTCAATTGTAGACACAAACTATGACCATTATGGGTGGTAGCATTTTCAGTTTATGTTTTCCTCCTCCTCTGGTACCCATCCACCACTGATGGCCGTTCTTTAACACATGGTCTTGTTGCTGGTCGAATCTGTGGAGGAAGACAGCAGCATCTCGTTCTTCTTGTTTTGCAGAAGGGCATTGTCCCGTGTCACGCTGTCTGTGTGGGTGTAATTGTGTCTCCTCTGCTTTGACCCAGTCGAGCACCTCAAGAGCGCCTTGACGATGAGGTAGCATAGCTCAGCCACGTTCAGCACCATGCAGATGGCCGATGAGGACACCATGAAGATGGTGAAGACGGTCTTCTCTGTTGGCCTGGAGATGAAGCAGTCCACCTTGTTGGGGCAAGGCCACTGCTCGCACTTCACAAGCCGGGGCATCTGGAAGCCGTCGTAGACAAAGTACAGCGCGTACATGAACCCCCCCTCAAAGATGAGCCTGAAGAACAAGCTGCAGGTGTAGGTCCACCACAGTGGGCCTGTGATTGGCAGACGCCTCCTCTTCAGTGTCTCCAGGTCAGTATCTGTCATCTTCTCTGTGCCGTTGGAGGCCAGCATGGTCCTCTTATCCCCACGTTTCCTGTAGGCGACGTGCATGGCCACCAGCAGGGCTGGTGTGGATACAAATATCAACTGCAGGCACCACAAGCGGATGTGCGACACAGGAAAGAAGTGATCATAGCAGACATTTTTACAGCCTGGCTGCTGTGTGTTGCACGTGAAGTCTGACTGCTCGTCCCCCCAGACGCTCTCAGCAGCCAGAACCAGTATAGTGATGCGGAAGATGAAAAGGACAGAAAGCCAAATCTTTCCGAGACTGGTGGAGTGTTTGTTGACGCCGCCCAGCTGGGCGTAGAGTGCCCCCCAAGTCATTGTGCTGATGGGGACTGTGGTAGCTCAGACAACCTGTAAAAGGCAGGAATTCAGCAGAAGGTTAACAGACCAGAAAATTACCTTTCACAGAACATCTAACTATCTGAAGGCACTGAGTCATACTTGTAGTTGGCGTTTCTTAGATTGGCTTTTTTTGTGTGTGTCTAGTAGTGTATAGTAGAGAGTAAAACTATATTTGACAAACAGTACATGGCATGAGTGTTGAGTGGGACTTCAAATCATTTTTAAGAGCAGATATAAAGAAGAGACCCAAACCCTGGATACAGAGAGCCAGGTCTATGATTGATACAACATCAGAAAGCTGTCACCAGTGTCATGCGAGGCTTTTTGATTCCATATGGCATCTGTTTTAGTTATTATTTGTTGTCTTTTAGAGCCCTCAGTAAGTGCAGGGTTGGTCCCCCAACCACCTGTGCACATAACCTCAGGTAGTATCGGTGCTGTCCCCTGTGCCTATTGCACCCCTAAACAGGGATTTTAACACATTTGACTTTATATTACCGATACTATTATCATTTGATTATTATGTAATTATTAATAATTAATTATTAGCATGACAATCTTTTGAGAATGTATTTAATTGTGATCTACTTTCAAAAGCCATTACTTTTCTCCACTAGATTGTCTGTGGGCTGCTTCATGGTTATGATTTGTGGTGTACCCATTAGAGCCATCCTTTTCCTTATCATATAACATATATTCTTTCCTGTCATCTTTATTCTTGCTATCCTAACAATTAAGCTTTAAAGATTAAAGAAGAAACATTTGATGTATTAAAAGGCAATTTTGTCTTTTTCGATGTGATTCAATTACGTCAATTACTGATGGCGTAAATAAGTGTTTTGATGGATATTATTTTTAATACAATTATTATTAGCGAATCAGACATAAATCATACTAAATATTGCGAGTACACACTCATTAAACTAAAGGCCGATATTATCGTTAATGTTACTATCAATACCATTATTATTATTATAAAATATTAATATATTATTATTATTATTAGACATTTAATGGTTGCCTATTGTTGCTATACAGCTATACTAAGAAGTTAGGGCAAAGTTCAATGAGTCACTCACCTGTCTCTGTAGAGCTTGTCCAAAATATTTCAATACCTTTCCATGAAGTGAAAACAATTAATCCTTTTATTCTTTTGGCGTCTGAAGAAAACTGTCCCCGCACTCCAACAGGAAGGGTCTCGCTCGTTGGGGACGAAGTTTGACTTGTCCCGTGTTTAAGCTGTGTGAGACGCACCTGTGTCTCCTGAGGCTTTTCATCATCCCTCCTGTAGACCGGGAGGGCGGGGCCAGGCTCAGGGTGGGGCCAGCCAGGCACCCATAGAAGAGACAGACTGAAAGCTGTCACTAGCCTACTTACTCTCTGTGTGTGTGCATGATTACTATTTCAACATCAGCAGATAGAAGTTTTACTTTTATGAAAAAGGAAACCTGTCATTGGCTGAGTTAAACCTCAGTAGTGGAGTTTAAGGGCCACATTTGTTTTATTTAGGTAAAGATTCAATGATCAAACTCTGGTCCAAAGCTAAATTGGCTACATCTAGAAATGTAGACTAAGTTTATAAATGAATCATGATCCTGGTCAGCAGAAAAGCCTATTCAACTGCTTCACATACTGAAGGTCAGGCAGAGTAACTAGGTAGATATGTTTAACCAGCTTGTATGGCCAGTTTGCATTTATTAGCAAAAATTGTAAAAAAAATTACATACATTTTTGGTACATCTGAAAACACCTCTTACTCGCATATACAGCATACCGTACAGTATATGCACATACTGTACACATATACTTGTATAGACACATTTTACTGAACCTCTAATGCGTTTTTACTTGTATTGTAACTAACCCATTAAACATGTTTATACTGTAGCAGTACAACTTGTCACACGTGATGGTCACTCTGGCCTGATATCACTGTGAAATGAAATTTGTGACATGAGCAGAGCAGAAAGTAGCACTCGTGACATGTTTCCATTCATTGTTTCCTGGGATCCGGGGCCTTATCAGTAACCATTTAATGCTACCCACATCATCAATTTGTCTTGCTGGGGGGAAGAGAGGCCACTCCAGTTCCCATCCAGACAGCTCTAATATTTGATTTCATAGTTTCATTATTTTACTTTTTGTTTAGGATCAAACATGTTGTATTAAGTGAATATACAAAACATATAAATGTATGATTCCATTATTTTTAATAATCAAAACATAATTTCACATTTTTCATTTACAAAGAAGACCATTATGTGGTGTGTAGCACCTTGTGAAATGATTGCTTTTAATTCCGTCCTTCAGTTACCGATTAAGATCCTTGAGAACTTGCAGACAAAAGTTAAAATATACTGTAATTTGGAGAAATAAAATGATGATAAAAGGCACATTCAGAGCACAAATGTTCATTATCACTGAGAAAATAACCAAATATTTCATCACTCCCAAAATTCTTATTTAAAATGTTATTAGCTTATCGGTCTACAAATTTTCACATTTTTTTATATTTGGTGCTGACATAACAATGAAGAAACTAAGAGGGGTTAAAAACCTCTTGCAGGGGTCATGGGCATACTGATAATAATGAAACAAAATGTTTAAAGTCTCCTATTCAGCAGCCACACTCGATGTGTCCTTGGCTGTGGGCCCTGCATGCTGATCTTAGTGCTCCTTCTTCAGCTTGGCCAGACGCATGAGGAGCTGGTCCCTCCTCTCAATCCTGGCTGACAGATGCTGCCGGTCGTTGGGAATCAGCTCAGACATTTCCTGTGGACAGCAGGGAGGGGAATGTGAGAAAAAGAAGACCATTAGAGCAAAGATAGAGGACTTTCAGGTGACAGGACCACCCTCTGACAGCCATGTTGGAGTTCCTCTGGAACTGGAAAACAATGGATATATAGAAATATGCAACAGTTATTAAAAACTGATCCTCTCAACACGTTTTGTGTTTGAGTAATATCAGTTTGTTAGCCACATAACTAGCAAACGACCACTGTTCTGCTGTACACAGCTGAAACACAGGTGGCAGAGAGACCTAAGGTTTGAGTCATGTGATCTAGCATACACAGTTAGTCGTGCTTGTGGCTAATAAAGGTGGTGAGGGTTCTCATCCTGGGTACTGGTTGGTTGGGGTGCCTTCACAGCAGAGGTGGAAATGGGGGGACAGTATGAACCTTGGTATGTTTCACCCTCTTGGTGAAGCTCGCTGTTGGCAGATCAAAAGAAGAGGCTGGCAACAACATGCATTACAAAGGTGGCATGTCTGTCTGCAGCCCTCTACAGACCAAGAGCAGACTGCAGTGTGAAGATAAATGGACATTTTAGGAAAATCAAACTTTATTTTATTTATTATTTTTTTTATTTATTTATTTTACTTTTAGTTTATTAATGTTATCTTCTCTTGGGTTAGCCTTTCAGTTCTTACAGCTTTGGACTTAAAGCTAGAGCTAAAGGCAAGTTTGCATGGGGATGCAGAGAAATTCTGGTTTTGAGTTTGCTGGAATATTTCATAGTTTTTTCTTCCGACTCTGGGTTGTTGTTGGAATCTGTTGCAACTGAAGCTGTATAACTATTGACAATGAATCAGGACGCTGCATAAATACAACTAGTTTAGTTGAAATGCAAATGCATTATTCAAAGGGAATGTCAGTGGGAATATGGCTTTCTTAACTCCCCACCCGTGCACTGGCGCAGAAGGTTTCTGAGTGAGGCAAAAAGAACCAGAAAACAAGATGGACTGCTACTGCCCTCTGAGCTAGTTTACCTTAAACCATTTATTGCTCTGGTTCAGGGTTTCCTCACATGATGACCTTCTGTGGCTAACATTTTACCAGCCTGTGATAGCATGTGACTTAGTAATGCCTACTTAGGAGAGAGCTATTTTGCGCTGGGTGAGAAGGACCTCTTGACTTTCAGTCATGCAGAACTAAAGACTCCATCAACAAATGTTCTCTTCATGCGACTGAATCAGTGGGAAGAAATCATAACAGGCAACATTATCCATTTTGATAAAACCTCCTTTGATCTGCATAAATGAATACTGTTAAATTTCACATTTATACAGACTAGCTCAACGTCAGGTAAAGCATGGTCTCTTTTGCTGCCGTCATACGTACATTATTGATGCTCTTGGCTCCCTCACCACAGAAGTCTGGTACTGGCCCAAAGGAGTTCAGAACCCTGGTTATGCCCTCTCCATACCGTTTCATATAATCTTCCAAACCTGTGGGAAGACAGCGGATCAGAGGGGGAAGGCCAGGTATAAGAACATGTGTAAATAGCATGAATCTTGCAGCAGTTGGTTCACATATGCATCATGAAATAGTCCTCACAGCCCCAAAGAGTGAGAAGCTTGCTCTTAAAAGTGAAAATTCTGCTCAACTCCAGGCAAAATATCACAATTTGATAGCTGTCCTCACCTATTAGGCGTTCCCTGCAGATGGACAGTGACAAACGTATTGTGGGAGACGTAAAAATACAGTATATGAAAGTGACAATACAATTCTGTGAAGTTGTGCACTTGCAATTGAAGGCTGGAACAGGCTTCTTGGGGCTACATGTAAGTGAATGTGCACATATACAGAGACACTTGTTACTGTTTCTCTATACTTGCTACTATGAATGAACTTTAGAAATACCGTCCTTGATAAAAAAAAAAAATTCCCACGTTGAACCCACTGGCTGACAGATATTGGTTCAACAATTTATGCACAGGGCCATACAACACATTTTGAGAGATGTGCATGTTAGATCCTCTGTGACCTATGTTCTCTTGAATATGAAATGTGCCTTTTTGATATTTGTGCAATAAATATTAAAGAAGAAGTTCATGTTTAAAAAAAGAAAGAAAGAAAATCATAAAGTAATGCTATTTTCTTTTTTCTGTAGTTCATATTTCCTGCAACAGATTCATTTTATACCAGCCTCAGACTTTTAAAATTTGTGGACCTTTCTTAAGGAACATGTTGCATGCCTTATAAATAACTCTTAGGTCGTTCCTTGAGGCTGTGATTCCTTGAGTTATTCTCTTATTATTCACATTGATTAATCTTTAATGACTATTTATTTGTGACACACTGGTTAATGATTTATATACTGCCCAAATAAACTGTTGATAAATGAGGGTGCTGGTTTCCTCTACTCAACACAGCAAAAAATTCAAAAACATTAGTGATTGATTTAATTGATTTTTAACGTTCAACATTAAGCACACAACCAAATGTTTGTGGATCAAATGATCAACTGTATCCCATAATTTGGATGTAGAAAAATAGCAACACACATCTTATGGTCTCTGAGGCAACACAGGTCCCCATAATAAGCAATGACCAGACAAATCATCATAAAGAGGGCAAGCGGTATGGTTTGTTGACATTCCAGTGATAAGAAACACAGGAGGTGAGGATTAGCTCTCGTAAAAAGCCAGTGTGTAGCAATATGAAAGACGTTCCCAAACTAATTCACACCAGCTCTTTAATTAAGGCAGGTCAGTAGGTGCCCATTTGAAATAGTTCTGTCACACTGAAATGAAGTTTCACACACAGATTTAAAAGTGTGACACTACATTATTTAGTTAAATAAACAGGAAACTTATTCTAAAAAGCTTTTAGTTTTCTCTTTTACTGTTTTTTACTCTAAATGTGTTTTAAAATCCATTCACTATCCCATGTTTTATTCTGAAGATGAACTTTGAATGTTTACATGAGTGGGACACACTATAGTGTATATGACACAGCAGTGTGAGAAGTACCATCTACCTTCAACCAAACACAGACTTTGTGTGGGAGAAAAATATAAGTGTTATTTCAAGCTATGCAATTCCTCCTTTGCTGCCACTGTCTAACCTTTCTTAAATGTCTGTATTCTATGCATTAAAATCATGGCTCAAGCCCAGCAGTATTACATATGGATCTGGCACATAATTGTTTAGAGTGAAGGATTTAAGTAAATGGCCCAATGCCCACAACAACTCCCTGTGTACTGAAGACCTCTACAGACGTTCAAAATGAGTGGAAAGTTAAAAATTTCAGCTTTGACAGGTTCAAAATGAAAATGTTTTTTCCCCCGTTGGCCTTTCACTTCTTCCACCTTGTGTGGACTTTGAAAACTTTCCTTCAGTTTGCTCTGTAAGAACAACATAACATTTACTTGTTTTGTGCTTTAGAGGAATTCAATGGATTAAGGTGGAATCACACACAGATAATCAAAATTAAGTAAAATGTATCATGCATCATTATGATGGTCTTGTTAGCTGAAAGTTTAATAAATAATTAATCAGATAATCATATTGTATGTCTCAATATGAATGTTGCAATGACTGAATGAATGTAGCATTACAAGATGCCCAAACAAGCACCTCACTTTGTTGTGTCCAATGTTTTATTGGCAAACTGTTTATCTTTTAAAAGGTCCAGTGTGTAGGTAGTAAATGCAAAAGAGCAACTATGGTGGCAGTGAAACGCATGAAAAGTGTCTATCTAGAGCCATTGTTAGGTTTGTCTGTTCAGGGCTACTGTTGACACATGCCGGTTCTTATTTTCAGGTGATTATACACTAATGAAAAAATAATTAGATTTCTTCCATTAGATCCTCCTAAATGTTACACACTGGACCTTTAAAACGTATAGTCTAATAACAAAATGTGTATCTTATTTTTTTCGTTAAGGAAAGCAGCTGTGATCATATTGGAGTTACAGTGGTTGCAATGGTGCCCATAGAAAGTCCTCGGTCCATAAACCACTCCTCTGCTCTCCGCTTGTGTGCTCCGTATGTTCTCAACACTTACACACTAGTGCTGTTAGCTGTACTTTTGTCTTATGCAACAACATTTGCTTCTGTTGGTTGTAAATGATAAACATAAACACCTAACTGGTTTGGATTACACTGAGAATACAGGTGGAGAATGGAGAGGTGCATCATACTGCGGGAGTGTTTTGAAAAGTTTCCATTGACATTTTGATGACTTTTTGCTGCGAAACTGAAGCACCATTTGAACACTTTGTAGATGTTGTGAATCCAAGCTGATTACATGAAGGAGCAAGCTACAAACATTTCAGAGCCTCCTTCATGACTACAGACAGCAGTTTTTCAGTGGATTATTCCTTTAAAGGATAATGCTCTCCTGTACAGGAACATGGTTTACAAAAGCTAAGTCATTCAGGCAGAGTAGAAAGACAGAGACAGAGCCTGAGTGCTCCAGTATCTGATTGGAATGATTTAAGGACGGGAAGTCACAACAGGAGTAGTTCTTAGCAATCTTTTGAGAACATGATCATACTACTGTTTCCTGAGCACTGTAACTACAGATAGAGTTGGCACCTGGTTTGAAGGCCGCGATGTGGGCTCTGTGAGTTTTGGATTACTGGTGTGAGGGAGTGCATTCATTGCTACCCATCAAAAGACGGCTTTGTTCTGCCAAAGCGTCCTTTTTGTGTGTGTGTACACAGTCAGGGTTACTCTCTGGGTTTCACACTCCCCTTTGATATTCTCCATCTCCCTGAGGTTTCACTCTCGCTCTCTCTCTCTGACACACAGAGGAACGCTACAGTATGGTACAGTACATGTATGCTGTGCTGTGACCCGTGAGCTATATCACTGTTGACTCTCACATTCTTTATCTAAGGTGTATTGCTCTGATTACTGTCATCACAATATTTTCTGAGCTAATTGGCATTGGTATGTTTTGACTCAAGTACTTATCTTCCCCAGTATATAAATTACATCTGTCACAAAAGGTGTAGGTTCTCCTTCAGTGCTGGAATAAAAACTGGACTGTTGTAATTGTGTTGAACAAACAGAAATTATACTTTTGTACTACTTTACTTAAGATTAAGTCATTTTAAATATGTATCCTCTCATTCTTTTTTTTTACATGCATATATAGAGACTGTATGCAAATTGTTGCAGATTGCAACAAACGGAACACAGCTCGCGTCTCTATCCGACGACCTGGAAATTAACCTTCTATTTATGCGAGTAAAAAGTCCAAAGAGGGAACATTACCTTCAGGTGCATTGAGGTGCATCGTTTCCATGGGACCTATAAAGGCGTAACGCATTCCTAGCCCCTCTGACATCACCAGGTCGATGTCCTTGACAGAGATAATGCCATCCTGATTGAGTAATAGAGAAAAAAAAGAGTTAACTAATTTCACTGACTTGATTTACATGAATCTCCCTTTGTATTCATTATAAATATGGAAAAAACAATCAGTCAGTAAATGTATGGCGAGATTGCCCTACAGCAGCTTTAAAGACACATATTCTCTTTATATGTTAGAACAGTTAAAAGAGATAAAAGGTCAACCCTGAGCTGTGTTCCTCGTGTTCCTGTGTGGAGGATTTGATGGCGCTGTTGCTACCAACAAACAAACATAACTCCTGTTCTGAATAACACTGCAGCTCAAAATGTAGTCTTAAGATGTAAGAATATATTTTCCCTGGAAGTTCAACAAAGTCATGGCTTTTTACCCCCAGGGTTTTGGACCCACCAAATTCTCTTTGATCCCATCAGACTACTCCCACCATATAAAGTTTCCCTAATCAGCCAATTCTGTGTCCTCAGGATTATACAGGCAGTACAGGGAGGAGAGGGGCTGAGGATGGAGGGATGGATGGAAGGAGAGACAGAGGGGGAGTGGTTCAGGTATCTTTGGGTTAGAGATACCCGTTGGCCGACCATGGAGGAAATCAAAGCTTGGATACAGATACAGAGAGTAGAGTGCGCAAGAGAAGAGGGACAGGGTCGTCTTTGTTTGGGTCCTGCGTCCAACAACGGGCCTGTTATCTGAGCAAAGCGGGATGGTGGGTGGAGTCTTTTCTCCACGGTAATCACTGGAGGCAACCAGCCGCTTTCTCAGCCGCTCTGCTTTCCAACGCTGGCCCTGACTCAAGGACCATTTTCTGTTTGTGTGTGCATGTTTGGAGGGGTCAGGGAAGGTCCCCGTTATGCAAGAGGGATCACAAGGCCACTCTCAGTCCACAGGCACTGTTGCTCAGTGTTGAACCTCTGGTCACATTTAATGTTTTGGTCTTTTTTGGAGTACCTTTATACTATTTGGAGGGTGTAACAGAAAGTAATGGCGCCTATAAACTGTGACAAAACTGCACTTATGTTTCTGCTCACATTAACAGGTCACCGTCCAACAAAGAGGTCATGACTGACAATGACTCAGCCTTCTTGTAGGGTATAGGCTCTATTTTTACACGTTCTCTAAAACACCCTGACAAAATACCTACGCTGAAAACACAGCGGTGAAATAAATGAGTAAATTATGATTTTTCCAGTTTAGTCAGCTGATGTTCCCGAGCCCTTCTGTCGGATTAGTAACCGGTCACAACAGACAAAGTGAAACTTATTTTTGCTTCCTTGTGAAATTGGTGGTTCTGGATGGTTGGTTGCTGGTCATGAGGGGGCTTCCACTGGTTTGTGGCCAGTTATGTTTGTGGCGAAATGGACATGAAGATGAAAACCCTCTTAGGCAGGGCTTGGTCATATAACAGCTTTAATACAATAGGTCTTTTTTTTGACTTGTCATATGAGGAAAAGCACAGGTATTACTAATAAAAATTAACAATGGCTCTGTCTGTTTGACTGTCCCAGTAAGTCATGACAGTGTTTCAGTGAGCCAGTATGCATAATACCAGGACCCTGAAACCAAAGGATCTACATGGAAATTAGGCATCTTTAATTTTATAAGTTACACATGTGCTTTACTGTGACATGTCAAAATGTCTTGTGGGAAAAAGGCCTATAGCTTCCCCCATTCTGGACTCTCCATTTCCTCGAAAGTCCCCACTGATAAAATAGTTTGCAATTGGTCAATGGCGTCAATTTCAAATTTTAAATAATTACTGAAATATACTCAAATGAAGGATTTGCTACCAATTTCTGCAATTCAATTCAAATTAATTGATTTTAGACCCAAATTTCGCTGTCATAAAGGCTGGCGTGACTGAGCTCAGGGGGACACAAATGATTCTGTACTTATTGAAATTCTACTTGTTGCCTGCACATTTTAATTAGGGTGCTGTAAATGAAGTTCCTCAGGTGCCTGACACAAAATGTGTCACTCACCAACCATTTAACAGATCAGAAATCATTAAGTGGGTGTCACTGCATCGTGAACTCTATGACTTGTGTGAGGGAGTGCTAGATGGAACAATAGTGATAGCATTCATTTTAGCAATAGTTTTTTAACAAACTAGTCACAATTGCACACAGTTGTACAGTGACTACAAAGAATACAGAAAGGTGTGCACCATTTACAGGTAACTGAAGAGCTCTGATGTTCCAGCATCGTCAGGGTTCTTTATTAAAACTCATACAGCAGCTGAAAGGCAAACCTATTCTATATTGTGTTGGATTATTAGCTTCTGTATAACTTCTTGTTGAATTATACATTATAGTATAAGTACAACATTATTTGCTATTGGCCAACAATTTATGTTGTTATTGTAGGTATGTTATTATATTGAACGTGTGTTGCTCAGTATAACACAAATGATAAGAAAAGCTTTCATTTTCTGTTACCTTTTTTAGTCCATCTGAAATAGTAAAACTGGACTGGAGGTAACTTTTTTAACATTTCGTTTCTTTGCAATGTCCAAACATTTCTTATCATGAGTTCCAGAGCTCAACGTGACATCATTAAATTGGTTGTTTTGTGTGACCATTACTCCAAGATATATAATTTCCAGCTTTCGCTGTAACAATTGCTACGTTCCTGGGTGGGAGACTTTCAGTCAAGACAGATTTTGTTAGTGCTGGAATGTAAACCTGGTTCAGCATTATTCACTTCCACCTGGTGTCCCTCTCCTTCTCCTTCTACAATCACCTCATTTTAGACAAATGGCATAGCTGGTTGACTGGTTCATCTAGTTCACCTGCCCTTGGCTCTAGCAGCAATAAAGATCCACAGCTTATCTCTATCTCCAGTGGAGACAACAATAGAAGCCCCTGCTTGTTATGATGAATCTGTTTCCTCTTCTGAGACACATTCAGGTTCAGTAACACCTTAGATGATTGGACTTAATTAGAGCCAGACCCACATCCCAAGCTATGACAATTGAGACTGATGTTCAGGATTTACCTGTTAATCAACATTGACAAGAGGAACTGTCAGAAAGACAGAAGGGTCTTGTCAGACAGGCTTGTTTTTGAAATGTTCAAAAATTAGTCCAAAAAACTGTAGGCACTACTCTGTTCCATTTAATTGTCACAATATACTATGTGAGGGAGCCAGCAGGAACAGTAGCAGGCCATTTAAAGTTAAATACCTAAATATAACAAGACATCCATCACTTATGTTATTTATCATTCTATGCCAAGTCAAAATATCTGCTGTAAAAAAGGTCCCTTGATGCTCTGCCCTGAACAAAACCAAAACTAAACTACATCATGTCTATATCAGCTGTTTTTCAAATGTTGATTACTTGTTTCATTATGTATTTAATTTGCAAATAAACTTTGCAAGTGTGTCCAAAATCTAGCCGAACCTCTCAATATAACAACTAGGCCAGAAATATAAATAGGCAAAAGAATTAAAAAATTATTTTGCATAATCTCTGTGTTAATTTGAATATGTTCTACTATGAGAATAATAAGGCTTAGTAAAGCACGTTTGGGAGCATGGTTTCTTAATTGACAGAAGCGGAAAGCCACAGTGGTTGTTCCAGCACCTGACAACATGATGGTTAGTGGTAAACCATAAATTTGAAAAAGTCTTGATGTCAGAGAAATTGCATCCTTGTTTTTCCACAGCTTATAAACTAAATGCAGAACAGACGAGACATATCTGTGGTGACCTTAGAGCTCTTCGTTGAAATATGGCAGAAATCAATTTCTGCTACATTCTTGTAACACAGACAAGTTGTATGTTAGGAGATACAGTGCCTTGCGAAAGTATTCGGCCCCCTTGAACTTTTCAACCTTTTGACACATTTCAGGCTTCAAACATTAAAGAGAGTATACGAATACGTCGATTTTTATTTTGTGAAGAAATCACCAAACAATGGGCACACAATTGTGCAAGTGGAACGAAATCCTATTGGACTACAGCTTCCTTAGAACTTTTTAGCAAATCAAAAAACTGAAAAGTGGGTGGCGTGCAAGAAATTTATGTCGCCCCTTTACTTTCAGTCGCAGCAAACTCACTTCCAGACAGTTAAACAGGATCTCTTGATGAACCTCCAACCTGTTGTCCTAAACTGACTGAGGTGAGTCACAATCACCAGCTCGCGAATCCCACCTGTGTGGGGTAATCGAAGTCTGCTGTATAAACTACGGCACCCTGCTTTCTGTGATAGTTCACAGGGTTCTGTTGAACAGCGCAAGAAGAGCACTCATGGAAGACGCTGAGAGCGAAACCACTACCCAGGTCAGGTACCGTAATCACTGTTACGTGGGCAAGACCAGTCTTAAACGCCGCATTCTGGCATACCAAAAAGACTTTCAAGCGCTCTTCAACACAGGTCCCAAAGGAGCCACTGCTGGCAAGCGATCCATTTCTGAACGAGTGGATCGGACGTATAACCAATTTCGAACTTTTTTTGCCCCCCAACAAATGCCCAAACCCGGATTTTATTTGGGTTTGGCCCGTAAAAAGGCCAACACAGGCTCATTCCCCCACCCCCAACCAGAAGCCACCATCCCCACCTTGGTTTTCGAAACTCATTGGTCGCTTGGCAGCCATCCATGGTTTCGGCCCTGCTTTCTTTTCAGCCAGGGACAGGAACGATTGCGTTAAAAAAATTTAGACCGGGGAGATGGATGCAGCCCAGAAAATACCAGGACCATTCTGGATGAAAAACCTGGTTGGGAAAGGTTTTCTTGCAAACAAGGACCCTTGAAACTGGGACGGAGATTTACTTCCAACAAGGACAAAAATTGATCCCCCAACATACCAACAGCAAAAATCCTACCAAAGGAACAATGGCGTTTCAACAAATAAAACGGGGGTTTAATTTCCAGGTGTTAGAATGGGCCCAAAGTTGTCAAAGTTCCCAAAGACCCTGACATCCAATTCGAGAATTTCTGTGGAAAGAGCTCTGAAAACCTTGCTCGTTTCACAAAACGCTCTTCCATCAAACCTTTTCAACTGAGGCCTTTCAA